CGCATTCTCACGCGGCGCGTTGCTGTTTGCGTTCGAGCGACGCTACCTCCAACGCCCGAAGCGGCGCCCGAGGCCGCGCCGACAGTGGCCGCTGGGATACCGCGAGGGAGTGCTTAGGCGTTGCCGTCGCAGACAACCTCGAAGGCGGGTGCTGCGGGGCTGCCGCGCCAGCTGGCGCCGGCGCTTGGGGGGGCGCCCCCGCCAGTTGAGTCAACTAGGTTATCGGGCGAGGCTGCGAAGCGAGAGCGCTCAGTGGGCGAGATCTCCGACGAGTGCAAGGCGCGCTCGCGGAGCCGCCCGCCTGGTGGCGCGGGCGCCGGCGGCGGCCAGGGTTTGCCGGGCGGATCTGGCGGGGGCGAGCTGGCGCGTCTTCCACCGGCGGGTGCCGCTCGCCCTCCAGCGCGCCCCCCTTCGCCAGAGTCGTTGGCCGAGGTCGAGGCCAGAGACTCGGTCGACAGGCGGTGGCGCCCCCTGCTCTGCGCGATTGCGATTGGGTCACGGCGACGAGGAGTGCGACCTCCATTCGGTCTGGCTCCAGGGCCTTATGTAAGTGGTTGGCCCAGTGCGTCCGCAACATCTGGCGGAGTCACTCGGGGCCGCTGAGCGGGCGGCAATCCGGCGCGTCAACTTGCCGACCCCGCGCGCCAAGCTATCGCCCAGGACGATTGCGTGGATTGCCGCCGCAGCTTCGAGTTCCGTTGCGGCGACGGTTGCAAGGCGTTACCGCTGCCGCTCCTGGAAGGGCCGTCAGCTCGGAGACGCGAGTTGTCGCCGCGCTGGCGCGCAGCGCGCAGTGCGCGGCTCGAGCGCGTCAGCCACGCCCCGGCGAAGTCGCCCAATAACTGCCTTTCTCCGTGGAAACGGAGGCAACTCAACCTTGCGTTCGCCGAGTCGCAGCACAGTTGCCAGGTCCCGCATCATAGCGTTCACAAAGCACAATTTCTTTCAGGCTGTCCCGAGATGCAGGATGATGAGTTAGTTAACATGTTTGGGACTATGCTCGGCACGCTTTGAACAGGCAGCCCAATGGCTCTCGCAGCCGAAGGTATCTGCGAATAGTCCCACGCCAACCGCGGCGAGGTCAGCACCGGCGCGGGTGCCTTGAGGTTCGCGACCGAGGATTCAGCCGAATTCTTTGTTAAATTGACGGACGGGCTGGTGATGTGCTGCGAGAAGTGCGGTGTACCCAAGCCATTTAATTTGGATGAGTTGCGCTCTCCGCGCCAGGTCTCGGACACCTGCAGGTGCCGCGCAGAGTTCAAGGCCGGGTTATCGCGAAGGAGCGAGAAGGCGCGCTGGCAGGCGTGGTTGCTTGCGCGCGAATTCGAGCTGTGAGTCAAGGGGGGCAGCTGGTTAGCGGATCCGAACTAGGCAAGGAGCTGCTCTGCATAAGGACGGTAGCGCTCAGCTACCATGTTACTTTCGCAACCCAGTCCTCGCGCTCTGGGAGGCGATCGGGCGCTTCGACGACGCGTGGCCAATAAGAGCGTTAAGTCGGTTGAAGAAAACGAGTGCGGGTGCTGGGTTAATCGGGGCGAGCGCGACGAGGTGGCTTTTGTTCGGGCGGCATGTGCGACGCTGCTGTCGAGATGAAGTGTTGCCGCGTCTTCACTCGTGATAATGCCCCTGAGCAAGTCGGCGCGTGGACTGGCCGTGCGACCGCGCCCGCCAGGTCCCCCAGCTGTCGTTGCCGTCGCTCGTTTTCATCGTTTTTTGTTTATTTATACACACATGTATACATATATATATATATATATATGTGTACACATATTTTTATGCATATATATAAACAATAAACAAAACACAACATGCTATATATAACCATAATACTAATACCATATCATTATCAACATCATTATTATTATTATTACTATTTATTTTTCTTATTATTATTATTATTATTATGTTTATTATTATTATGTTTATGTTTATTATTATTATTATTATTGTTGTTATTATTAGTATTATACTACTTATTTCTAAACAAGGTTTGTTTGTTTGTGTAGAAAAACGTGATAGGAGGCCCCTGCGCGTTTGCGCCCACGTCTTAATCGCTTCTTACCTGCGCAGAATTCGTATGCTTTTGTTTTCTTTACGTCGCTGTAACCTGCTGAGTTGGAGACTCGGCCGCTGCCTCCGCTGTCTTTTTGAACTGTAGTCGTTCGGCCCCATTTGGTACGTAGTTTAATAAGTTTTCCCCCGTCGGTTCTATCGGCCATGCTGGCCGGATGGGTGGGTGTTCGAACATGGCATTGCGATTGGGTGAGGAGCTTAGCAGTACATGTTTGTCGAGAGGCTGTTGTTACCAACGGCGTTTGGCTCAAATAGCCAACAGTGCAGCGTCCGCTCAGCCCCATTTTTAAGCAACGTTCCTTGAGTCAGTATCGTTCAGTTCATTCTCCAGGATTTGCAGGAGAATGAGGAAAGAGGTGGGAGGAGGAGGCTGGAGAGGTGGAGGAGGAGGGGGAGGAATGAGTAGGGGGAGGAGGATGAGGATGAGAAGCAGGAGCAGGAGCAGGAGGAAGTGGAGGAGAGGATGGTGGTGGTGACGTTGATGATACTGATGATGATGCAGATGATGAGCACGATGCTGTTGATGGTGGTGGTGATGGCGGTGGTGATGATGGTGGTGGCAATGACGGTAATACTGGTGGTGGTGATGATGACGATGATGCTGAGGTTGATGATCATGTTGATGAGAATGTCGGTGGTTGTGATGGTGGTGATGTTGGCGAATGCCTGGTATGATGAATCTAATTATGAGGATGATGATGATGAGGAGGAGGCGGGGGAGGAACATGAGGATGATGACGACGACCACGACGACCACGACGACCACGACGACGACGACGATGATGATGATGATTATGATGATGGTGGTTATGGTCATGATGATGAAGACGATGGTGATGGTTGTCATGGTGATGATGATGATGGTGATGATGGTGATGATGGTGGTGATGATTATGATGATGCTGCGACTGCTGATGATGATGATGATGAGGATGATGATAGTGGTGGTGGTGATAACGATATTGATGATGATGCTGCTGATGCTGCTGATGATGAAGATAAATATGAATGTGATGAGGCTGATGCTGATGCTGATGATGATGATGCTAATGATGATGCTGATGCTGATGATGATGATGCTGATGCTGATGATGATGATGATGATGATGATGCTGATGATGATGATGATGATGATGATGATGATGATGATGACG